CTTGCATGCATGAGGCCCTGGGTTCGATTCCTCAGCCCCACATAAGCAAAAAGAAAAAAGCCGGAAGTGGCGCTGTGGCTCAAGTGGTAGAGCGCTAGCTTTGAGCTGAAGAGCTGAGGGACAGAGCCCAGGCCCAGAGTTCAGGCCCCACAACCAGACCCTCCCCCCAAAAAAAGATTAAAAATGACCTTGAGTCGCTTTTGCCTGTAGGCCTAGCTACTCGGGAGGAAGAGATCAGAAGGGTCTCTTCAATGCCAGCCTAGGGAGGGAAAAGATCCTGTCTCAACAAGCAATCCAGGCATGGTGTGCTTCTCGGTAAGCCTAGTACGTGGGGTGCTCAGGTAGGAGGACTGTGATCTGAGGATGACCACAGCAAAAATCATGAAACCTTATCTGAAAAAAATAACTAAAACAGAAAGGGCTGGGGATGTGACTCAAGTATTAGGGTGCTTGCTTAGTCAGTGCAAGTCCCCAGGTTCATCAAGTTATAGGTACAATGGCAGGGATCTCAGATGTGGATATTTCCAGCTCTTGGTTCCAACCAGATGGAGATTTACATTTCTAGGCAGCAGTGGAATGGACATGGTCTTCTTTGCACCCAAATCATCAGGCATGCTGGGCTGAGGTGGAGAGGCTCCTGCACGTGCAGGGCAAGCGAGTGCGCGCCTCCATGCATCCCACGCCTGTCTCTTGAGACTTTCGTCTTGATTGGGAATGCAGACTTGCCATCAGTGTTTTTGCCAGCAACTGAATTGTTTTATTTTGCTTTGTTTTAGATTTTGTAGTCCAGGCTGAGCTCAAATTCACAATGCTCCTGCCTCAGCTTCCTGAGTGCTGGCACCTCTAGGTGGTGAATTTTCTGAAATAAATCATGCCAGAATCTCCACTTTTTAGACTGAAAGTGGGATTGTTACCTCTGAAAGCAGAAGCAGAGGGCTATGTATTTATTTACCTCCCTCCGACTTCAAACCTTACTAAATATAATAACTGACATTTTTAATCAGATATTTTTCTTCCTTTTTAGTCTGGCTGATAAAGCCAATCATCATTCATTCTAATTAATAAGCTAACTCAGTTTGCATAAAACCTAAAACCAATACAATTCCAAAACACGAGGCAACAGACTACTGCTCACTTGTTAAGATCTTTGTTGATAATAACTTTCATAGCATACATTCCTAGTACATTCAGAATTGGAGAACCTTTCCAAGCCAAAAGAGGTTAGAGTTCATTTGTTCTCAAGTATACTCTGCATTTTAAAACACACTCCCTCCATTGGAAAACTTACCTTGCCAGGGCTCTGCTGTTTAAAAAGAGACATTTCTTGAAGAAATAGGCTGAAATTCATCCATGATTCTGCAATACAGTGGCTGAGTCTGGGTCTTTCATCTGGTTTGGCATTGATAACTTCCCAGCTAAATAGAGAAAAAGAAAACAAAGTCTAAGTTGAACCTTAGAAGATTCATTCAGATCATCCTCTACTGTTGGTCTCACTTTGTAAAAGCTCTGTGGATTCAGAGTTGAACCAGTAAGATACATAACTCAAGAATCTCCAATGCCTGTCTTCTTTGCTGGATGGTGAATTTGATTGCTTATCCTTGGGAGTGGGGGGAAGGGTGAAAAAGACCAGCAGTGGAGCTCACTGGACGCTGATGAAAGTGAACTGTAACAACTCTTGGACGGCGACGGGAGGGAGGGACTGCGAGAGGGAGGGAGCAGAAGACGCTCTTTGAAAGGACATTACTCACTGCCTGACTCATGTAATTGTAATCCCTCAGGTGCCAACAGATACAAGTAGCTACACAATGAAATATCTGATTACAACGCAACAGGAAAACACTGGGCCAAAGTCAGGGTTGGAGCTTCGGGTGTCTTCTCTGAAGGAGTCATTTTTGAGCTCAAGTCTGGAATGGATCAGCAGCTCACTCCTAAGCCTGAGAGACTGGGGATGAAAAAGCTAAAAGTGCTACCCTATTAGCCCCATGTGGAGCCAGCACAGTGAACTGGAAGAGCAATGACAAGGCTCAGCGACTATGCCTTGTAGGACTTACAAACAAAAAAACAAACAACTTTTTAAACTGGAGGGATTTTTTTTAATTCAAGCATTAAATCAAAATAACTATTCAACCACTTACTTTCAATATAATATACATAGCAGTTGCTTGTCAAACTCAATGTCATCTCCTGCTACCCCTTATTTTTCTCAAGTATCTTTTCCCAGCCATCACCTGGAATGTGTGGAGGGCGATGCAATGTCAGGCAAGGTGCTTTTTTCCATGCCTTCACTTTTCCAGGAGAACCCCAGCAAGCTAAAAACTAGAAACAGTCACTCCAGGAAGAAGACATATACAGATGCAGGCCATTCCCTAAACTGATAACAACATCAAGCATAAACGATACCAAGCTGAAATTCTGCTTTTACAATCCTAGCTCATAAAAATACCCCAATTCAGCCAGCTACCAGCAGCTCACAGTAATCCTAGCTACTTAGAATGTTGGGATCTGAGGAGCACAGCTCAAAGCCACTTTGAGCAAGAAGGTCTGTGAGTCTCTTATCTCCAATACTGGAAGTGGCACTGTGACTTAAAGTTAGCCTTGAGCTCACATATTTGCGTGTGTGTTTGTATGTGTGTGTGTGTGTGTGTCTGTTGTTCTATTTAATAATGCCCTAAATTGGAACAGAGCCTATTCTGATGCTAAATGAGCTCTGTAGAGACAATAATAACTAAAAGAGATTTGTAGAGAGCACAGTTTAATAACAAAGCTTTTTTTCACATTTAAGAGTTTTACCTATTTTCTACAGTAGACATCAGAGTTGGATATTGTCCATTACTTTATTCATTTATTTAATACAAGGTGACCAAAGTTTCCCCTTGTGTCCTGCATTATGATAAATATGCCAAGCATTGCTTGAAAAGTACCACTTGAAAAAGTACCACTACCCTCTAACTGCATCTCTAGATATTACGAGTTGCTAGGAAGAAGAAACCAAAGAATAACTTGTGATTATTTTTCATAAAAAGCACTTACGTTAAATTTCTTCCCTTTGGAACAAATTCATGTAACCAGTTCGGTGTGTGCCCGTAATCCTAGCTCCTGAGAGAGTGAGGCCGGGGTGTGATGGCCACTCTTGTCCTCCCAGCCACTTGGGAAGCAGAGATTGGGAGAATTATTGTTTGAGGCCAACTAGGCTAAAAAAAAGTTAGTGAAACCTCATCTCAACCAATAAGCTGAGTGCTGTGGAACACGCTTGTTATCCCTACTACATGAGGCATAAAGAGGGGCTCAACATCCAAGACTGACCCAGGATACAAACTTGAGATTCCACTTAAAAAATAACTACAGTAGAAAGGACTGAGGACTTGGCTAAAGTACTACAGTGCCTGCCTAGCAATCACGAGGGCCTGTGTTCAAACTCCAGCCATGGGATAGGTTTTTTTTAAATAGTAAGTTCCATTGTTACATTTATACTAATATAATAACCAATAGTTCTTATTGATACTTAAGCATAAATGAGAAATGCCGAGGAGAAGGATTGGGATTGGGGGGGAGGGGGGAGGCTGGGAAGGGATGTGAAGGGTAAACAAAGGAGGAAGCTGCAATGCTTGGTGAGAAATGTACGCATTATCCTGCCCGTGCAATTGTAACCCCTCTGTACAGTATGTTTACAAATAAAACAAAATTAAATTAAAAAAAATGAGAAATGCCGTATGTACAACTTGAACATATCTAACCAAGTAAGTTCTGGAGAGTAATCAATATTTGGGGTAAGAGTAAATGTGCTAAGGGAAATTTAGTAGGATTGATTGATTTTCAGTACTGAGGACTGAAACCAGGACCCTGCACTTATACTAGGCAAGTAATCGTGTGAGCTATACCCCAGCCCTGAGAACCTATGATTTACAAAGAAATCCTGTGTTCCAAGATGAAGAATGGATATCACTCTACAACTTCAAATGAGACACATACCCAAAAGACTTGCTCTCTAGGGGTCTGAATGAAAGTTGAAATTTGCCCAGTAGTCATTTCAGAATAGGAACTATAGGAACACACATTCCTATAGCCTACAGCATAGACTGTGCGTCTACCCTACCCTACTATCACTGCAGTTCAATTTGGATACCAGACACTGACATAATTTTGGAATTGAATATGACCCTTGATGCTCACTTTTCAGGGTCTGTTATTTTATGGGTGAAGATCATGAAACCCACCCTAGTTTTCTCAGCTAGCTTGAGACAGATCATTCCTGATTTCCGATACAGTTCTATTCACGTTGAACCACGTGCCTTCATCAGATGAATACAGTTAGCGGTATTCTTTAAAGACACCATGTTGTTGTTAGAATGGGAACACTCCACGTCCTTCCTGCCCCTGGCTGGAGTGAGGAGGATGAGCCGTGATTCACCAGTGCCGTTGTGGCATCATGTGAGGCCAGACCTTTCCAGGAACACAGAGCACGTCATGGGCAGAATCTAAAAACTCAGCGGAAACTAAGCCCCAGGCCTGGTGCTTGGTAGATGTGTAATACAAGTGACGTGTGCAAAGGCTTGCTCCATAACAAAACTCTAGGTTTTCCTAGACAGAACCGGAGAAAGGATAACCTGTGAATACTGGACAAGGTTTGGGCAACAGATCTTTTCCGTGGTGTGTGGCTGTCTTCCCACCAGGCTTGGCACAAAGCGTAACACAAAGTAAGGCCCAACTAACAAAGATGGGAAATAGACCTTGCCTTTCAAAACAGTTCTTTCTTCTTCTTTTCTTTTTGTTGGTCCTGGGCTTGGACTCAGGGCCTGGGCACTCCTTTGCTCAAGGCTAGTGCTCCACCACTTTGAGCCACACCTCCACTTCCCATTTTCTGGTGGTTAATTGGAGATAAGAGTCTCACAGATTTTCCTGCCTGGGATAACTTTGAACTGAGAGCTTCAGATCTCAACCTCCTAAGTAGCTAGCCACACATGAGCCACTGGCACCCAGTGTTTTAACCAGTTCTTAACCAAAAAGTAAAAGTATGACTGAAGGTCATCTATAAAGGAAAAAAAAATGGCTTTATTCCTGAGATTTCCTTCTTTGTTTCAGAGGGAATGTGCGGTTTCAGAGTTCATGGGGAATAAGGCCCTTCGGTTCATCCTTCCCTGCATCCTCTCCACTGTCTTTGCTAGCCAGTGCCCCTGCTCGGCACTCAGGCACAGCTGGTGACCAGCATGTCCACCTTGCTGTGACCACCTGCATCGCGGTGCAGCAGCCCAAGTGGCTCCCTGGGAGAGGTCACTGAGTCGCAGACCCCGGCAAGGCCAGGCCAGTTTCCACATGGCCTGTGACCCTGAATCTACAGGCACAGATGCTTCCCGCACAAGCTCCAGTGAATGCTGCTTGGTTACCTTCCCTCTTAGGAAGTCAATCAGGTGCGCTTGAGAAAGGACATTCTGCAGTCAAGGTAAGTAATTATTTACCAAAGAATGCTATGCCAAGACAGAGTTCCTTCTGGGCAGCTGACGAATGGCTGGCCTCCCCGTGGGCAACTCTTGGGGACCTTGGGGATCGAGGGGACCTTGCTATCTGCAGGGAGTCACCCTGGCTCTTGGGGGAGAACTTCAAATCAGAATTCTTTCTGCCTCCATATCCATGTTAGAATACATCGACTTATGCACATGAGGTGCGGACTCACAAGTGAGGCCTCTGTGGAGTCCCTAACGCTGGGAATGTGACACCCCCGCTACTGCTGCGGCAGTGCCTGAGCCTCGGCCGGGAGAGTCTGTTAGACACGCCAGGGTGACGCGCAGAAATCTCCCTCATTCACAAGAGACCCAGATTACTGAGGCATCCGTTCTTAGCCAAATCACTATCAGAAGTCAGGTGCCAGTTGCTCATGCCTATCATTCTAATTGCTCAAGAAGCTGACATCTGAGGATCCTAGTTCAAAGTCAGCTCAGAAGACAAACCCACCACCAAAAAGCCCTAAGTAGAAGTCTGACTCAAGTGGTAGAGCACCAGCCTTGAGCAAAAAGGCCAAGTGTAGCTATTAGGCCCTGAGTTCAAGCCCTAGGACTGGCACAAGAAAAACAAAAGGAAGAAAGAAATATCTGACAGAACGCTACACGGGATTCCTATTTCATGAGTAAAGAAGAGGGAGATTGCTGTTTCTGGACAAGACAGTATGTGAGGGACATGATTTACCTTCCCACCTGAAACAATCAAACCATAAAAAGAAAAATACAAGGTGGGCACCGATGGCTCACGCCTGTCATCCTAGCTACTCAGGAAGCTGAAATCTGAGGATCACGGGTCAAAGCCAGCCTGGGCAGGAAAGTCTGTGAGATTCTTATCTTCAATAAGCCACCAAAAAACTAGAAGTAGTGCTGTGGCTCAAGTGGTAGAGTGCTATCCTTGAGCTGAAGAGCTGAGAGACAGCGCC